TATCCATCAGCAATAGATAATCCGATTATTTCAAATGCGCTAATTAGCAAGGTCTGAAATTCTGAGGATGCACAATGGGAAAACCACTTCTCTCTGCATAATCACATATAGTACCATCTCTGTTAAGAGCAACGGAATCTGTGTGAATTTAGCTGCATTTAGGAAAATGTTTCTCTTCCTTTATTTGTCCTTGCATTGTCCCAGAGCTGAAAAATATTTGTCCTTGGTGTGTGTGTTTGGTCCAATAAGTTACCAAAAAACTACAGGAGAAATGAAGATGTACATTTCATTTCACACTGGTGTAGAAACTTGAGGGATCTTAATTTGATGTGTCAAATGAGACAGTTTTGCTTAACTGCCTCTTACTGAAAAACTCAGACCTAGGGAAATGTTTTGTGTAATTGTGTCCTGTGAACTGCCCTTTTGGGGAGGGGCAGATTGGGGTTTGGGTGTGGGTGGGCTGTGGATCCTAGGGTGAAATAAGTTTCTGTGGGTAGGGAGTAGAATTCTCTGAAATGGAGATTTTTTTACATTAGGGATTAAAGAAAACCCCGTTAGGGGTGCCTGGGTGGCCCAGTCAGTTAAGGGACCAACTCTTGATTTTGGCTCAGGTCATGATCTCAGGGTCCTGAGCTCAAGCCCTGTGTCAGGCTCTGCGCTGGGTGTGGAGCCTGCTTGAGATTCTTTCTCCCTCTGCTCTCGCTCTCTTTCTCGCTCTAAAATACATAAATAAATCTTTAAAAAGAATAAAGAAACCCCCTTCAGTGAGGAGCAGCATAGAAGTAAATTTTCTATAGGAAAACCAGATAATGTTCGGTGTCTATGAAGGGAACTAACTCCCAGTCCCCATGACATGTTTAAAGTTTTGTTCTTTTCCTTTTACTTTAGAAACAGTCATGTTTAGCATATGGTTTTAGTTCTCTTGGGTTTTAAAATTTTACTTTGTTATCTACAATCCTTCAGTAAAGTTGTAAAGGTAAGGTCGTATGTCCAAAGTGTGGTTCTGGGGATTTTAAGGGAATCACCCTTCCTGTCAGAGAGCAGCATTTTATTGAGGAATTACAGGAAAGTGAGCAGAGGCTCAAGGCCAAGCTGAGAGGGAGAAGAGCTCTCTGGAGAAATGGCTGCAATTTGTACTGCACTTAATATAATCCTCCTCCCCCTCCCAGATATATCTGAGGAAGATTACAGAAAGAAAAACATTCTTTTTTTTTTAAGAAAAACATTTTCTGGGGTGCCTGGATGGTTCTGCTGGTTAAGCGGCTGCCTTTGGTTCCAGTCCTGATCCCAGGGTCCTGGGATTGAGCCCCCCATCGGGCTCCCTGTTCAGAGGGGAGCCTGCCTCTCCCTCTGCCTGCTGCTCCCCCTGCTTGTGCTTGCTCTCTCGCCCCTCCTCTCTGTGTCAAATAAATAAATGAAATCTTAAAAAAAAAAAAAGAAAAACATTTTCCAACAAAATTATCCTAGCTAATTTTCAGTCAAGCATCTTATTATTTAAACCTTATATTTAAACAAAAAAACTTTGGTTTTGTTCACAAATGCTTGATTATCACCCAGCATTTCACTTCACAGTAAGGAATTAAATTTAATTTCAATAATGTTAAGAGTGGTCTGATGAAAAGTATGGGCAGCATAGGAAAAAGATGAATTACCACACTCAACTAATAAGATAATAGTAGGGTTGAATCCATGGTGAATCTCCCTTTTCATTTTATGATGTGCTTCTGAAACATCACTTTGGAAAACTCATATTAAAATAACAAAAGCTATGGCTATATAATAATGAGGACTACCTTGGAGTTTTAATGAATCAAACGTCTTGTTTTAAAACTATTTCATACGAAGGTCATACTGATGGTATGCGATGTGATTCCACACAGAACAAAAATTGAAAGCCCCACAACTCATATTCTAGGTCAGCAGTTTTCAAACTTTTTGGCCTCAGGACTCTTTCACAATCTCATAAATTATTAAGAGTCCTACAGAACTTTTAAAAAATGTGTATATCTATACGTATTTACAGTAATACAAATTAAGGTAGAGAAATAAAAATATTAGTTTATTAAAAATAACAAGCCCATGTTAACATAAAAAATGCATTTTAATGAACATAGTTATGTTTTCAAATAAAAGAAATTAGTGAGTGGGGCACCTGGGTGGCTCAGTTGGTTAAGCCTCCGACTCGTCATTTTGGCTCAGGTCATGATCTCAGGGTGGTAAGATCGAGCCCCCCCCATGGGGTTCTACACTGGGTATGGAGCCTGCTTAGGATTCTCTCTCCCTCTCCTTCTGCCCCTCCCCCCTCCTGCTTGTGCTCGTTCTCTCTCAAAAAAAAAAAAATAGTGAGATACATGGTACTATTTTAGATTTTTGCAAATCCCTTTAATGCCTGGCTTGATGGAAGATAGTTGAATTCTCATATGTGTTTCTGTATTCAATCATGTGCATTGTTTGGGTTGAAGTATATAAACTTCACCCAGATGTATAGTTGGAAAAAGCAGGAATATTTTAATAACTTTTCCAGATAATTATAGGTATTTTTTTTTTATAAGTGGTGTATCTTAAAAGTTAGTGGCAATGTAGAATCTGGAGGTATATCAATTAACTTTTTACATTCTATGAAAATCTTTTGGTCTAACTTGTACTTTGAATGAATGTTTTACCCACACATGATTTTGTAACATCATGCATTGGTCATTTGAAAATACTTGTTCAATGAATTATGCAAATATTCTAATGTTGACACATTTTATTATATAAAATCCTTTTGTTACTAAATTTTCCTCTGCAGAAAAGTCTCAAGAATTAGTATGTTGTCAAGTTTACGGTGGTAGATATGTTTTCTAAAATTCTTAATTTTTATTTGAGAGCTTTGATTTTTTTTTTTTTTTTGGAGAGAGAGAGGGAGAGAGTGTCAGGGGTGGGGAGGGAAGGGGTCAGAAGGAGAGGGAGAGGGAGAATCTTAAGCAGGCATGGAGCCTGACATGGGGCTCAATCTTATGTCCCTGAGATCATGACCTGAGCCGAAATCCACCAACTGAGCCACTCAGGCGCCCTGGAAAGCTTTAATTTTATCACTGACAACAAATACTGTCAATGGTTTTCTTTAAAAGGACAGGCTGATTTCATTTTCAAGAAAATGTCAAATACCCAAATGTGAAAGACTAGAGTTTGGCAGTCATTCTTTCAAGCAAAATGTTATTCCATGAAAAAATCTGCTAGTTAAAAAATACATGTATTCAATGGTTGAACTTTAATAAATCTAACATTCACAATTTCATCAAGGACATTCTTAACTGAAATAGATAATTTTATTTTTCTATTGCAAGTGCATGACAGTGAAGAATAATGACTGCTGGAGTTTGGTGTCATTGCCTTTGATTTGTGCTAAGGCCCAAGAAGTTTTTATTTACTACTGATTTTACACTATCAGGGCAAATTCCAGCAGTGAAAAAGCAAATAGCAGTATTATTATAAAGAGTTTTGACCTTGCAGATACTCTGAAAGGCTCTTGGGGATACCCAGAAGGCTATGAACCACAATATGAGAACTGCTATGGTAGGTATTAGAATAAGGGCAGAATATAAAAACAATTAAGACGTGATCCCTTTTCTCAAGCTCATGTTCTAATAGAGGAAACCTACAGAGATGATTACAACATGCTTTAGAGATACAAGAAATGGCAACAGTGGGGAGGCCAGATTAAGAACAAGAATGGACAAGTACAAGATGTATAGTTGGAAAGGCAGACAAGCAACGATGAGATCTGACCTAAGGTAGTGGTGAATGGAGAAACGTTCAAGGTGGTGGAATTATAAGATGTGGTGACTGATTAAACATGAGGAATGAAGAAGGAGGGCAATGGGGTGGATAGTGGTGCCCTTCCTACATGGGCATTACAGGAGGGGCAGGATGGCAGCGGGGTGGGAGGAGGTAAATTCAGTTCGGGATTTACTGACAATGAGATAAATGTTAAGCATCTAGGTAGAGGTGTTGAGCAGGCAGTTAGATACTCCTGCTCCTTCCCTGAGGGCCCTGCAGTTTTGTCACCCACTGCTGTATTCCCAGTGCCTACCTAGCACAATACCTAGCTCTTCACAGTGACTGAATAAATACATGAATATGGTCGGGGGCTCGTGAGAGTAATACAGAAGGGGAATTTACTTTGGTGGTCATTATATATACATGCTTCTTTGAGACCGCAGGAGCGGGCGGCCAAGGGGCTGTGGCTTTAGGACTGTACTTCCGCTTTAAAATCTTTCTGGACAGAGTAAGTGCCGTTCTTGGGGAATGTTGTCTCAAATAGGTCGCGACGGCCTATAATATTCAAATTTATTTCGGAAAACCTGTTTCCGTATAATCCAGACAGCAACTAAGTTTTGTTATCGTTATGCCGTATATTAATACCTGTCAGACTGCTTTTAATTGGGGTGGCATGGGACTGACCTCATCGTCCCACCCTTCCGTGGGCAGACGGCGTCTTTCACAATCGCCCTTTCCCCAACCATGTTGGCTGTCTCTCCACCGCTTCAGGACGCGGGCCCTGAGAGGCTCAGCTGCAGCGGGCCTGCATGCCCCGGCGAGGGGGCGGTGCTCGCACCACCGGGGCGGTACTCAAGCCACCCGCCCGGCTGACGCCACATAAGCTGAGATCACCTCACGCGCGAGCGGTGCAATCACAGAGCGCGCTGCTGCCGCTGCCGTCCCGTCGCAAACCTCGCTCTGAGACCCCTCCGCCCGCCCTTTCTCGGCGCCGTGTCGTGGTGCTCCGCACCCGGGCACGCAGGCTCAGGTGGCCCGCGATTCTCAGGGGGATGATCCCCTCTTAAGTTCTCGTTCTCCTCTGTCTCTGTACCACTGGTACCCTAGGTGCAACCTGCTTTTTCAGGGCCTCTCTCCTGGCGTAAGGAGACCTCGGCCGTAGGTAGTCCTACGTAGGGCGTGGCCAGCATCTGGCCCCGCCCCGTTCTGTGACGCACAGGGTGGCGCGCGTGGGAGCCGAGAGTAGGGGGTGGGACTGGGTTTAGTAGGAGACCTGGAGGCCGGGGCCGCCTCCGGACGCCCATCTGCCGGCCTTACTCGCTCCATCGATTAGGAGGAGCGGCGGCGACCTCGGCCTCCAGCGTCTCCGGCGAACTGTAGTGACTGCTGCGGCGGTCAGGATGATGTTGCTGGGTTTACTGCAGGCGGGCGGGTCGGTGCTGGGGCAGGCGATGGAGCGGGTGACCGGCGGCAACCTCCTATCCATGCTGCTAATCGCCTGCGCCTTCACGCTTGGCCTAGTCTACCTGTTCCGCCTCGCAGTCGGCCACCTGGCCCCCCTGCCCGCCGGGGCGGTACGTGCACCCTGGGGGATCCGGGCGGGGGACGCAGCGACTACTGTGGTCTAACGGCTAGCGGGGCGACGACAAAGGCGGCCGAAGGGCTAGCGGGAGTGGCTGCCGAAGCCGTGGTCAGCTGGGCGGCGGCGACGGGCGCACTGGGGACGGGGAGGTGGCCGCAGCTCTGCTGCTTGTGGTCGCGACTTCCTTGGCCTTTCTGGCCTTGGTGTTGGGGGCTCTCAAGTCTGTAGCGATTCTGGCGGTGGCCGCGTGTCTGGTCTTGGTGGGGGTCGTGCTTGTAGCGGTCACGGCTGTGCTGGCCGAAGTGCTGGTGCTCCTAATGGCCGTGGCCAGACTGATGGATGTGGCATTGAGCGCCCTGGTGGCCGTCATCTTGGGGACTGCCCTGGTGGGGCATCCTGTGGGCTGTAGTATCGCCCCTAATGGCGATTTATATCTGTATGAAGCGGGGAGTGTTTGGTAGGGTGGGAGTAACTGGATTGTCCCTTCTTATGATGCTAAGAAGTATCAGTTTCTTTAATTTAGTGTCGTTATTGACCACTAGCTTCATACACCAAGTAGCGTTTAAAACTGCTCTTTTACTGACAGTGGAATGTATGAACTATTGACCAAGTCGTTTTTAAAACCTGGAGCATCTAAAGTACCTTTTACAAGGAGTGTGAAGGAGTTCCTGCTAGTGCTGATCTACTCTCTCTAAAATCAGTGGATGAGGAGCGCTGGGTGGTTCAGTTGATTAAGCATCTGATCCTTGATCTCAGCTCAGGTCTTGATCTCAGGGTGGTGAATTTAAGCCTCACGCTGGGTGTGGAGCCTACTTTAAAAAATAAAATCAGTGGATGAGATGTGTTCTCTTTCCTGATAAATGTAGCTTCTTAAACATTTCACATCTTTCTATACCTCAAGTTACTGTTTGTCTTTTTCTATACCTTCTTTAGGCAAGATTCCGGAACTAAAATTGTGAGTGGTAGTGGTAAAGACAATATAGTTTGATTTTCCTGTGTGTTTTTTTTTTTTTTTTTTTGCTAATGTTTAAGTAAGTTGCCTAGAGCCCACCAATAAATAATATTGGACATATTCTGGACAGTGTTCAGCATGTGTAATTACAACACCTTTGTGTTTGTCTAGTCACTTATACCATGTTTTGAGTTTCTGTTCTTTTGACTATGGCCACTCTCCTAAGATACTTGCAGTTTGGCTGTTTTTAAGTTACTGTTGATGCTTTATTTTTTGGTAACTTTTTAGTATTAGTGGTAAATTTCATTTGTTTGGTCAGGAAACTAAACTGGATATCTCAAAATGAAATGTGAACCCCCAATTTTTTGTTTTCTCTTGCAGAAAAGTCCACCATACATTTTCTCTCCAGTTCCATTCCTTGGACATGCCATAGCATTTGGGAAAAGTCCAGTTGAATTCCTAGAAAATGCATATGAGAAGGTAAGTGTTCCAAATAATTATAGGAAAAGAAATTAGTGCTTTTCAAACTTTTCTTTAAATGGCAGAACATTAAAAATAGTGTAATCTTAGGCTTATCCCGAGTATAGGAAACCAATTAAATTAGAGCTACTCCTATTTAAGAGCTGGAGGGGTCTTGGAGACTCTTGTAACTTCTCCTGTGTCCTGGGTGATCTCTGAGACATCACTAGCCTAAATTTTGTACTTACTGATCATAGTTAAGATTGATACTGATTGACCCTTATTTTTCTTAACCAGTCACCTGTGGAATTTTCTAACCTGCTCTACACATCTGTGACTTCAGTTTCACTTGGATGACCCACAAGATACCATGGCCAAGTCAGATCTTTGCCCCTCTTCTCTCTCATGAGCTTTCTGATACCAATTCAGCCATTTATTCCACAGTCCCACTATGAATTGTTGTCACTCTTAACTCTTTCAGCTCCACAATATAAATTTAGACACTTTAGTCTTAGACCCCTTCTTTTCTTGGCTTGCCTCTTGCCTCTGCAGCAACTTCCATTAGAACCATTCTTTGACCTCATTAGATCTTCCAGTCCATTGTCCCATTTACTTTCTCCTGATCTATTAGCCTCCTTTCTTTGCTTCGTTTTCCAGTTTGGGACAGTGGTCCATCATTTCAGTTCCACTGTGGCCAATACCATACATTTCTTCAGTCCACCCTAGTCTGCCTGTCAGCCCCTTCACTAATGAGCTCCGTGTCCTAGTTCAATGAACTTGATCCCTCAGCTGTGTTTGTCACTGGTAACTCCTCCCTCCTTAAATGTGGCTTCTTTCATCCCCCCCCTGCCCCCTATTTCTCTGACTGCTTTTTCTCTAACTCAGTAGTGGGCTTATGCCTGGGCATTTACTGTTGGGGTTCATGGAGGTTTGGTCCTTGGCCTTTAGTCTTTCTTAGGTGATCTCATCTCTAACCTGCAGCTTCAGTTATCAGCCATAGGTAGATGACACCCAAATTAATGTCTCTGGCTCAGGTCTCTTCTCCAGCTCCTGACCTGGATGTCCCAACTCCCACATGATTTTTCCTGCGTTGTCTCAAAGGCACCTGAAATCCAACATTTCTGAAGGCTAACCCTTGGTTTTTCTCTCTTCAATCCTGGTTGTCCTGTTTTCTCTTCTCACCATTTTTCTGTTTTCCAGAAGCCTAGGATTCCTTCTTGATACTTCCCTCCCTCAATCCATTGCTGTCTGCAAATTCTCTCTCCAAAATAATTCAGTATCCATCTGCTTCTCTGTGCACTGCCCCATCATTACCATGTAGCAAGTTTTCATCATCAGGTTCCTGCATAGGCTCTAACTGGTCCTCTGACATTCCTTCTGCTCCTGTTCCTCCCCCCTCCATATAGCAGCCAGAGGGATCTTTCTTTTAAAATGTGCATATAGCAGTGTGTCCCTCCCATGCAGTTTAAAATCTTCTATGGCTTTCTATTGCTTGTAAGGAAAAAACTTCCTGAATATGGCTTATGAGACTATGTATGGTTTAGGCCCTGCAGACTCAGCTCTCATCTTGTCCTCCCCCCCATTAGGATCTTTGTGCATGCCTGGCTGCCATGCTGACTCCTCCTCATCCTTCAAGCCTCAGCTCAGGTGGCCTTTCCTCTCTTTGGTCTCTCTTTTATCAGTTCTCTTCTCCCAGAATTGCTTTCCTTCCTGTAGTACTTGTCACATTTGCAATTTTACATTTGTTAATGTGATTATTTGATTAAGTTGTATCTTTTTCAATAGACTAAGCTACATGAGTCAGAGACAGTATTTTTGTTCACAATTGTATCCCCAGAGCCTGGTCTTTAATAATAATCAGATAACTGCAAGGTAAAGCATTTAACACCCAGCCAGATTAACGGAAAATTAAAAATGAAATCATTTAGGGGCGCCTGGGTGGCTCAGTCGTTGAGCGTCTGCCTTCGGCTCAGGTCATGATCCCAGGGTCCTGGGATCGAGCCCTGCATCGGGCTCCCTGCTCGGCGGGAGGCCTGCTTCTCCCTCTCCCCTCCCCCTGCTTGTGTTCCCTCTCTCGCTCTGTCTCTCTCTGTCAAATAAATAAATAAAATCTTTAAAAAAAAAAAAGAAATCATTTGGTGTTGGTGAGATAGTAGTAAACTGGATAACTAAATAAACTTCTGATGTCTTCACATAGCAAATACAATAGGACAGGTCATAACCTTTGGTGACTCCTATAAGTTTATCCTTAACAAGGGGGTAAAAAATCTGTATTCTCAGAGAAACTCATTGCAGAATTATCCATAATAAGTAAAGAACTGACATATCACCCATATGTCCAATAATGAAAGAATAATTATTAAAATTATAATGTCTGTGTAAAGGATAGAAAATATTTTCAGTATAAGTTGAAAACAGAATAAAAAGTTTATATTTCACTTGCAACTGGATGAAAATAATTATAAATTTGGACAAAGACTGGGTGAGTAATTGCATTAAGGTTTATGCATGTTTTAATTTTCAAAAATGTTTTGTGAATTAATAAGTTAGTGTTTCTTTTAGTGATACATATTTTTCAGTACCATCACTGTGGCTACTTTTCTTTCTTTAGTATGGACCTGTATTTAGTTTTACCATGGTGGGCAAGACATTTACTTACCTTCTGGGGAGTGATGCTGCTGCACTGCTTTTTAATAGTAAAAATGAGGACCTGAATGCAGAAGATGTCTACAGTCGTCTGACAACACCTGTGTTTGGGAAGGGAGTTGCATATGATGTGCCAAATCCAGTAGGTGACCCTGTTACCTTCAAGAAAAATCTATGATGTAATAGTTACAGCTGGTAGTGTAATATTGTACATTTAGAATGTAGAAACAATTTTTTCTTTGGTTCAGAAATCTGAAGAATGAGACATTAAAAAGAAAAGGCCTGGTAACTGACAAAGAATGGGTATTCTGTTTTATAGCTGCAGGCATGGGCTAAGCAATTTTAAAGGTTGCCTGTACAAAGAAAGAGAATCAATGATGAACTTAGGGCATTGATTCGAGTGGGTAACAAGAAAATCCCATTATTTCATCAAAAGGGCCTCCTATGCCTCTACTCCTGCCTGAAATTCTAGCATAAGAGCTCTTTTGAGCTAAAGATTGTTGGCTTTGGAAGTTTGTGTGATTTCTTTTCCCCTCCTGAAGTCAAATATTAGAGTGCTGCAAATTGATGCAAAACACAAATGAGATCATTGGCTCAATAGCTTGGTGTGGGCTCTGGCTGAGATCGTACCACACATGCCCTAGTATCCTAGTGTAGCAGTTAAGAGTTGACATCAAGTGTTATTTCTGGGGATGAGCGAGGTGTGGGGAATGAGTGGCTCCTCAAGGCCAAAAGCAAGAACCCTAGAAAATCTCTCTGGTCAGATATATCTATTCATTTTTTCACACTGCTAATCAGATTCTTAAAATAGAAATGTCCCAATGGGTTAAAACCATTAGTTGTCTTAGTGTGAATTTATTGCAATCAGACTATATTGAATTCTCATTAAACTTCTGGAAGATAGTGAGAGGAATGATACTTGTTTGGGAATGGAATGGGAGAGTATGTGAAGTGGGATAAAAATGATATGGAAGCATAATGAACCTTTGGGGGCTTGTGTTGGTATCTGGGTTGGGTTGGGATGCTAGAAGATAACAGGAAAGGGAAGCCCTGCGGTCTGGAGTGGGAAAATGCATATGTAGGAAGGAAAGGCAGTGGGATTCCTAATTTATCATTAGTTGAGCGCCTGCATACCAGGTTACCTCTGCATGTTACTTCAGATCCATATAAATGCTCTAAGTTTCCCATGTTTGGTATAGTTTTAAAAAATCCTTTTACTGTTTTTATTTTCAATATCTTTTTTAAAAATATTCTTTTCTTTGAGTGTTACATATAATAACCCAAATGAATCTTCTGATAAAACAAAATTGTGTTTTAATGCTTGGTATTATACTGTTAATATTTTGAAGGTTTTTTTGGAGCAGAAGAAAATGTTAAAAAGTGGCCTTAACATAGCCCACTTTAGACAGCACGTTTCTATAATTGAGAAAGAAACAAAGGAGTACTTTCAGAGTTGGGGAGAAAGTGGAGAAAAAAGTAAGCAAACTGTTTTGGTTTTGCATTTGTCCTAGTATTTCTACTTTTTTTTATGACTAGAAATATAAGAATACGTGAGTGTTTGTGTGTGTAATGAAAAACCAACTGCAACATATGTAAAAACCACCTTAGATTTAATGGAAAGAATATGTTTTGATAACCACAGAGTTAAAAAGACCTGAGAGGAAGTGATTATTGCTGTTCACTTAGCAAAACCTTAAAATGGGCTAGTTAATGTGCATGTTATTCAGCTCATTTGTACAAATAATATAAAAATAACTCATTAAATTTTGAAATAAACTGAATTAAGGCTTTTTGCAAGGTCATTTTAAGACAATAAATAAAATAACTTTTTTTAACCCCCATGAGCAAGTAAAAGTCTAAATGATTTAATTTTGTATGTAATACCCTATCTATCTGATATTGTATGGGAATGATTTAGTTCATGAAAAAAGTAAATTTAAATACATAGGCTTAGTCTACCACCAACTATATGCTTTCTTGCATTATGTACAGAGTATAGTGAGTATAACTTGATCTTCTTTGGATATTTATGTGAATCCATTCTTTATATTGGACAATTAAGTGTTCCTTTCAGAGAAAATTGCCCCCCCAAAGCAGGATGCAACATCTGTCTCATAGGGCATTAAGACCTCTGTGTGGGTCCCCATGTTCTGGGTGTGGTCTTCAGTTTCTGTAATCCACCGAAAGCTGATGTGATATATTTCTAACCATACAAGAAGCTGATGTATAAACAAACTAAAATGCCAACTTAATAAATACAAGTGAGACAAAGTTACAGCATTGAGAACACCAGAATTTGATAAACTTCATTGGCAAATCTAACTGGAAAGCCAAGGGACAATTGGAAGTTCATTTGGTAAACACGGAATTAAAGAACAAGGCATTAATTGGGTAATTTTTATGACTTTTAAATGTCATCGAAATGTGCTTCCCTGATGTATCTGTCTCTAGTTTGGGATATTACCAGTTGATGATTAGCTACAGTTTTCTTTTATATATAGTCAAGACCTCAAATTTTAGTCCTGGTCTTCCTGCTTTTGACCTGTGAAATAATCCATTCTTCAGTTTTTGGTCTGCTGTTCTTTGGGAAGCACCTCATATGCACTAAATCACCTTCTTGCTGCTTTTGTTACACTGCGACTTGGAACTTCTGTAACTCTATTCATTTTTTTTTTTTTTTTAGAGATTTTATTTATTTGTTTGACAGAGAAAGAGACAGCAAGAGCGGGAACACAAGCAGGGGGAGTGGGAGAGGGAGAAGCAGACTTCCTGCTGAGCAGGGAGCCGGATGTGGGGCTCGATCCCAGGACCCTGGGATCATGACCTGAGCAAAGGCAGATGCTTAATGACTGAGCCACCCAGGCGCCCCTCTATTCATTTTTTAAAAAGTTTTATTTTTAAGTAATTTCTATACCCAATGCGGGGCTCGAACTCACGACCCCGAGATCAAGAATCACGTGCTCTACCAACTGAGCCAGCCAGGCGCCCCTCACTATATTCATTTTTATCTTCAGTTTATCTTTTTATCTTTTTTTTTTTTTTAGGGTTTTTTTTTTTT